GACGGATGGTGCCACGCCCTGGTTGCAGGATTTAACGTTCATTCATTCGTTCATTGATCATAGGTCGTGGTTTGTTTGTGAGAGACACTTGGAGAAGTGATTTGCTTTCTTTTTGTACACCTGGTTTTGCCGTAAGAGAGATTTGTTTTGCATTCTGTTATCTTCTTGCCAGAGACTTTATTTATGTTTATTTTGGGCTCACAGCCAGTTTGAGCCGAGGACTGATAAAGTTAGTTCCTTTTAAGTTTGTCTGCCTGTCGTCTGTTAACGAGCGAAGGAGGGGGGACAGAACAGTTAAGCAAATCAAATCCCCGGACAAGGCAATGTTTACTAAGCCCTAAGAAATGTATTTAATAGAAAATCATTTTTTTTAAAAAGGGCAAAAACAAAAAAAGGAATATCTTATTTGTAGTTTTAGGCAAACCGCTCAGCCTAAAATCAGGGGTCGGAGGTGACCACTTGCTAGAAAGTCTTGATTGTAGATAAGCAACCTTCGTTTCCCAAAGTGTATTACGGGTAGTCCTCGACTTAAAACCATTCATTTAGTGACCGTTCGAAGTTACGACGTCAATGACAAAAAGAGACTTAGGACAGCTGCATGGTCACACGATCAAAATCCAGACGTTCGGCAGCTGTCATAAATATGAATCAGTTGCCAAGTGCATGGATTTTGATCTGTAACTGCCATAAATCACTTTTAAAAAATAAATACAAATAAATAAGTCCTGGGGGTCACATGATCCCCTTTTGTCACTTTCCGACAAGCCAAGTCAATGGGGAAATCGGACCCACTTAACAACCGTGTTACTAATGGACCAACTGCAGCGCTTCACTTAACAACGGTGGAAAAGCTGTAAAAATGGGCCAAAACTGACATAACAAATGTCCCTGCTTCACAATAGAAATTTCAGGCTCAATTGTCGTCGTAATTCAAGGACTACTTATATTTTGCTGCTTAAAGAACTCCTCCCTGCTCGCAAGTAAACCATGCGGAGTAAGTTACTATGGGGAGAATTCAGAGCAACTACACATCTATTTGAAGTGCAAGCAGCCCTTCCTGTTTTGTTTGCAACTTATCCTTCATTCACAAATCTCTAAACGGCCACTTGATTTCCAGGTGTCAGAACCGAAGATGGGAAGGTTCAGAAATAGTTTTATCCAGGGGGGGCGTCACTTCAATTCGCAATTCGCAATTTAATGAGCTTATATGCCGCCCAATCCCGGAGGACTCCGGGCGGCTTACAAATACGAAATGAAATAAAATAACACATAGGGGAAAGAAACATACAGTTTTAAAAAAAACACCCAACATACATTTGGCTTAACTGGGGGTTGGACCTGATTTAAAAAATCAGCAACCCCCAGCCAGGCCTGTCGAAACAGCCAGGTTTTGGTGGCTTTTTGGAAGGCCACGGGAGTGGGAAGGGTCCGGATCTCTGC